AATTTGGACCGAATCAAACGCACCCTAATTGTGTTAAACTTCCTTGAGAAGTTTTGGTTTGGTGTAGTCTGCTTCACTTATTATCGATAAGGCCCAAAAACATACATGCTAAAGCCCAAATAGATTGCGAAGGGTGTTAGTTTGGTCCAGAATTCATTGGCCACAGATATTCAACGGGTTTTAGTTTGATCCACTCTCACATTAGCATTAGTTTCATCCACGGTCACTAAACTTTCAGCAAAATTTCTATTGAGCCACATTCTAGTGTAGTGATAAATTGACATGTGTCATAACTGTTCTCTAATGTTATACAAAGCCAAAATTTATTCTACAAAAAAATGTGTTTTAGATGGAAAGAGTATAAAAAAAGTGTCAAAAATCACGAAAAATCTGTCCGAATAACACGATTGCTCGAGTGGCCAGGCTCACACTTTGCAAGCGGCGATTGGCGCTTTAGCGTCCAACCCCATGTCAAGCGAGTGACGTAGCACTCCAAATGGTACCTAAGCGCTGATTTTTTGTTCCAAAACCCGATTGGGTGCCCAAGCGCCCGAATTGGGTGTTTGGGTGCCCAATCTCTGCCCCAAGCTCCCTTAATACATATTTTGACCTCTTGAAGATCTCTTTTAGCCAATCCATTAATACAAAATGGAATATGGGTCACTCTTTAACATATGCCCTTGTTTGTTTCCAATTGTCTCCCTCAAATTTCTGACCGTTACAGATTTTTTAGTCGCAACTTTTGACCTTCTTGTTCCACAAGGGGGCCTACTGTTTGAAAATAAACGGTCAAAAAATTAATTTTTAGGCTCCAATAATGAAAAAAAAATAGGGGCTAGATATTATTGCATAGTATTAATATTGTGATCTAACATTTAGATAATGTTGATATATTATTGTAATTATGATCAAAATTGTCAAATATAAGTTTTTGTACATTGAAGCACACTAACCTCAAAAATGTATTTTTCTTATTATTTGGATCAAACTTCATTTTAATAATAACACTAATTCAATCTCGTTCTCCTCAAATCGATTTCAAAAATTCCATTTATTCTCGCGCATTATCAGTGCACGCACGCACATAAATTATCTAATTTATGTTGAAATATTATCTGATAATTAATAGTCTTACTTATTTTGCACATAAAAAAATTGGAATTAAACATTACTTAGAACCACAAACGCCAAATAATTAAAGACAAAGAATAACTAAAAAATTTAAAATTAGAGACAAAAATGTCTGCTACATAAGATTTAGAATAATTAGTTGCTCTGATGCATTCTATGGTTGATTCCATTAAGGGAAGTACATAATCTTTATTGTTCAAATCAATCAAATTTTGAGCAGATAGCTAGCTAGCTAGGGCAAAGAACTGGGTCACTAAGAAGTACACCACCGTGAACTTTCCTATAAAATTAATTGAATCAGATCGAAAGAAAACAAATTTATAGAAAAATTACATTATTATCAAGGAACTTTAAGCGTGCTGTTCACGTTCACTACCCGTGTTGATAGTGTTTGATAATTATTAATATTACTTATTTCTTAGTGTTAAAAGAAATAAAGCTTGAAGATGGCGGCTGTAGTTTTCCTTTATTGATGATCCTGAGTAGCCATCCAAGAGATATTTTGGCATATAGGCTAGAAAACGAGCCTTCTATCGAAAGCTTTTAAGATTATTGTGGAATAAATAGTTGATGATGCTTTCTTCAATTGATTTTTTAGGTGGAAATTGACCATTCTAATGTGTTTTCTCAAAATGACGGACTGTCTCGTCTCTCTTATGATATGATTTATCGACATCATGTATTGACGCGAGAAGTGCGTTCACAATAACACAATCTTCAGTGTCCAAATTCATCAAATTTACTATCTCTCGGTCATTTTGAGCTCCCAGGCAAAGAATAGAAATTCAAATGAAAATTTTTGTCACTGAGAAGTACACAATCACCAAATTTTATATGAAGTTGCAATATCACTACTATATTAAAAAGATACATTGAAGTTACTATTAGAAATGATATTGGGTTGATTACGCTCAAAGTGTTACGCGGTGTTGTAGT